TCGGCCGCGCGGCGGACGGTGCGGAGCAGGGCCAGGGAGGTGGACTGCAGGAAACCTGGTGGGCGGCGTTGGAGACTTCTCGGGTTGACACTGATGGAGGTTTTGGAACTCTCACAGAAAGACATGTGAAATCGTATCCAATGATGTGAACTTTATCTGCTGAGTCAATCAATTCTGCTGCGGCTTTGGACGTCAGCCCTGCCCCGCCTGACTCCAAGTGCTTTTGGGCTCCAGCCACTGTCTTCCCTGCAATGATCTCGGAGGCCTTCTCAATTGCCTCCAGCTCCTGGCAGTTTGGGAGACCTGAACGGGGAGGTCCCCCCCAAACGAAGCCCTCATGGGATGAGCTATAAGGCTTCCACTCCTCTAAGGGGAGGGTTGAAACGGCACCATTCCGGTTCAACGAAGCAGTTCAACAGGCCCAAGAGCCGCCACGACCCGAGCTGCCCACGGTCTGACCGACGAAAAAAAACACTCTTGACCGGAGGAACAAATAAAGAACGGTGGGCCAGCAAGGGGGGTCGAAGGACCATTTTGAGATGTTGTGAGGCTGCAAAAACAGAAAGGAAACACATCGTCCTCGCGTCTCAACTTCTGGTTGGACGCAAACTCCGTGGCCTTCTTTTGGCAGTCGAAGCTCCTAGGGCAGATCCAACCAAACACCGCACGTGACTCAGTTAAAGGATGTTGTTGTCCACAACACCCAGAAAATGCATCTGGGTTCTTTGACACACTCAGGTGAATCTGAAGCAATGGCATACAACTTCAATGACCCCAATTATATATAGGTCCATAATCATCTCCTAGACTACTCTGCACCAAGGATCAAATCCTTTTTGTACTTCACATCTTCCGCCAAGGTGGACTCAGCCTCCTCCAAATCGGTCTTGGCCGTCGCCAAGCTCTGCTGGGCCTTGCTCTTGAAAAGCGTCTTCTCTTCTTGCGCTTCACTTGCAGTGGTGACCTCAGCCGGCGAAAAGGCCAGCGGGCACTTCCCCAAGTGTTCCGTACAAACTATCCACCCTCCGTAAGAGCGTTTTTTCATCTACAAAGCAGTTGGAGGGGACGGCCCAATGTTATTTCCAGAGACCTTTGTCTCATCTCCCAGAAACAGATATAATGATATATATATATATAGAGAGTATATAATAGAATATATATAATAGACCATCCCCTTGGAGCCTCAAGAGGAGTCGAACGTAGCACCTCGCCTGCTTGGCCAAGCTGTCCATGACCTGCTGATGAGAGCTCTTCTTACTGGTCTCCAGAGTCTCTAGGGCCTCCTTCTCCTCGGAGAACTTCACTTGGAGCTTTTCCAGCATCTCAACCACACCCTGGGACTGGAAATCGTAGGCCTCGTCCGGACGCCAGCCCAGCGAGCTGCGAGCTGAGCTGCTCCCCCGTCCCGGCCCCCAGGTGGACGAACGGAACCCGAAGCCAAGCTGAGGACTTGGGCAAACCCAGAAAATGCCAGCATAGATCTCAAACTGGTCTTCTTTCCTAAGAGAGAACCCCAACAGTAAACTCTTTGGAGCGAAAAAAAGGGGTCTTTTCATTTCGCCCCAGCGGATCCCACCGCAGAGCTCCGCGTCTCAGAACCGAGCGGATCGAAGACCTCAAAACGCACGCCCCGACGTCTCGGTCCTCTCGTCGTGCACGGGTGGGTTTCGGTGGAGGCCTTCGTGGGTCCTTGAAGAAGGACCTCCAACTTCTTCCCCAGCTTCGCTTTCAGCTGGGCCATGGCAGCCTCTGCCTCTGAGTCCTTCTGCGCCTTCAACAACTCCAAGGCCTCGCCAATGGCACCTCGGAAGGCAGACGGCGAAGCATCACACGAGACCCAAGGCAGGTTGGTTTTGAGTTCATGGACCAGTTTAGCGCTTTGTTCCATGAAAACCGACATCGATTCTGACGAGATGTGTTGTTTACCCTTGTATTAAGACCTCCAAATAGATAGAAAAAGTAGATCCCCACAAAGAATGAATTGGAAAGCGTTTCTATATTTAATCAAGTAATTTACAAAATGCCTGCAAGAAGGAGTGGTGCCTGACTGACCAAAGCAATGTCGATAGTTCAATTCAGGCGTCGAAACCTCCAATGTGGTCACTGACAACTCTGTGCCGGTGTTGCTCCCTGAGAGTAACGTTTCACACATTTGGTAGTTTTTGGCAAAATACTCCTCTGCAGACTAACATGGAACCCTAAAACCACGTGGTTCTAGAGGAAAATGGTCGAAACCGACGAGTGAATTCTCAGGTTTCATAGGATCGTTCGCAATACCCGCCCCCTAAGATTCGGGTCACCGTCCCAAATTCGTGCGTCCTCCTACATCGTTGATTCGTGTCATTCTGGGGGCACCTACATAGTCACCCGGAAACCACCTGCCCAAACGCAAAGTCTGGACCCGAATCATTGTATGCAGGGAGTCTGGGGTTTCTCACCAATCCCCGTGAGTTTTGAGGGACCAGTTGGGCCGTGACCGGAGCTTCTGGGTGTTTCCAAAACCCCCAGCCCTCTAGTCCGGCCGCGACACGAATGGACTCCTGGTACTCTTGGTGGGTGGAACTGTAGTCTGACTCCTCTTGTTGTCGCAGAGCAGTATTTTTCTCGGAGTCCTGCTGGGCCACCTCGATCTCCTTCTGGTGCGCCTGCAATTCACTGGTCAAGGTCGTGACCGAGGCCTCAAACTTCTCGATGTCCGCCTTCAAACGTTCGATGCGCTCGGTGCCTTCCTCAATGGCGCGATCCTTCTCGGAGAGGGTCTTTTCACAGAACGCGGTATAGTCTGCATGCTGTTTCCTGGTGCAGTGACTTGTCAACCAAACAAACAATATGGACAGCCACTCCCAGCCATAGGCCTCAGCATAAATCTGTATAAGCACTACCTGGACCCTCCAACAGGTGTTTCCTGGTGCCAACAGGTGCCCAGAAACCACCTGTTAAGCTTCTAAAACCACCTGTTGGAAGGTCCTGGTATAATATAAAGAGATCATAAAAGGTCTGTTCAAACCACCACCCAGTATCTCTTCCTTCTCGAGTGCGTCTTCTCCTTGGCTCTTCATCTCCTTCAGGAGCCCCAAGACTTTTTGCACTGAAGCTTGGACATGAGCAGCGCTGAGCGCCAGCACTAGCACCAGCACCACGGAAGACTTCATTGGGACCGGCCTATGTGGCCATGTGGCCAGGCTCGAGCACAAGGTCGACGACAAAGGCACCACCGAGTTGAGGATGATCATACCACATCGAACTGATCATATCATATGGAACAAAGTAGAAAATATGTAGAAATCTACATTGCCTTGGCGCCTTCAGTCACTGTCTTGTGATTGTGGCACCTCATGAATCCGCCCACCCACTCCCAAACTCCCTGCTGGGCGCGATTTTGGCTCACTCCGCTGGCTGTGGAGCTGGTGGCCTGCCGTGCTGGTCAGGGTGCTGGGACCTCGGGGTGGTGAAGTTGATGCACCTTGAACGGATGAGACTGGTGATAGAGAAAGGCAAGAGAGGGACCCGGGCTACCTCCTGGGCTACCTGTGGGAGTCTTGTCTTGTTCGGGTTCCACCTCTGTTGGATGATCAAACCCAAGAACGACGGCCTGACTCTGACTCCATGCTTTCTGTACTTCATTCAGAAGCCTCAGAATCTGTAATTACTTTCTTTAGGACACGCTGGAAGGAGCCAGCTTAAAACAGACACATGAAGCTGCAACAGGCGGTGGTTGAGGGCCCTTTTTGCTTTTGGAGACACAATGTGTGATGTTCAAGGGAACTGCTTCGGGGTCCAGTGGATGAAACCGAAACCCCTTGTATTTCGTAGCACTCGACTTCGTCCATGAACGCATCAACTGTAGTTACACATCAACAGGTAGAAAATCAAATTGTAGAAATAACAACGTCTAAAAATAGCGAAATTCAAAATGATGAGTATGATACTGCTGATATTGTTAGTAAAATAGAGAAAGTGAATCAGGTAATGCTTAGGATATTATTTGCAGGAGCAAGCAAAAGTCATATCTGCCAGAAACCGGTTGATAAAGGCTACACAATATTATTTGTATGCCCTACTAACACCATAACAATAAACAAGATTTTTGGTATAAGTTTTGGTGAGGGTTAAATGGAACCATTTGATTATTCAGAATTTGATGTCATAGCAATTGATCAAATCTGGTTCATCGGGTTGAGTGTTTATTGGAAAGCCAAATAGTTTGTTGAGAAATATCTTTTGCAACACGTGAACAAACAAAACCAGTTCATGAGCTGACAAATACCAAATATTAGGAAACAATATGCTGATGCAATGATTGACAATATGTTTGAGCATAAAGTATTGCTGAAAGTATATAAGAGACTGAACACAGAAGAGGATGAACAAAAGCTAAACAATATCAAGAACTATATACTTGTAAATACCCACAACTAAGCTGATTGAGAAATACTTTAGATACACTGATGATATTACATCGTCAACATACAACAAAGCATATTTATGCATATTTGAATAAGACCTGTAAACAATCATATAAATCATATGTATGGGTCAAACAAACGCTGAAAACCACGTATTTTGGGGGACCTGGTGGCGTCCCACTCTCAAAAAGAACAAGAAGGTGGCGCGAAAACAAAAAAGACACCGACCTCGACGGCCGTGTCCCTCATCGGTCGGCCGGTGGTCCCTGCTCCCGCCGCCTTGTGGACCGGTCTAGTGGGTCACGCGCCAAGAAGCCGCCATAGGCCTAGCAGGGCTGGACGCTGAGTGGCACAGTCCAGTGACCGGCACAACAGTGGCTGTAACACCAAAAGAGGGGAGGTGGTGGAGCATCCACAAGCAGTGGAGGTGTTGGGAGGTGTTGGTAACTCCCCTCTTTTTTATCCAAAAACACCTCCAACACTCCAAGAGAGGAGGGTTTGGTGTGTAGGAAAAGACCTGTTTGGAGAATAAGAACACCTCTATTGTCTAACCCATCTCCCCATCCACCGGCTCTTTATACTTGTTTCTTCACTACGCACGTGCATTTCTTTTTGAGTCCCCCTTGTGGTTAAGTGTTTACCCCTCTTCAAAGCTATCCCTTAAAGCCTTTGGACCCGCTGCCAATGATCAAGCGGTCAAGATTAATGGTTGGCAACATGGGGCATTAGGGAGACGGTTTGGTCTAGATTCCTATCTTAATACACACCCACATGGTGTTAAGTCCCCCATGTCCCTCCCAAATGTACCCAAGACGTTAGGAGTGTTCCTTTGATGTTCCTGGCAATGATCTGTCACCAGGGCACAAGCGAAGTTGACCACACGACTGTTCACCGACTAAAGAAAGAACGGGTGTTCCTGAAACAAGACGGCGTGATTGGTTGACCGGTCTGGCTTTGAACCCACAGCCAATATCTTGAGTATATCCCATTACCCAGGGCGGCGGCAGACGGGATCCCGCTTTTGACCTTGACGCTGCAGCCACATTATGGCGCCACTTTCCTAGTACTGCGACGTTACATTCCCTGACGCCACATTCCCCCCTGACGCCGCATTACCCCCTGACGCCGCATTCTGGCGCCGCATTCCCTGACGCCACATTACCCCCTGACGCCACATTACCCCCTGACGCCGCATTCTTCCCTGACGTCACATTCCTCCCCTGACGCCACATTACTCCCTGACGCCACATTTGACGCCACATTCCCTGACGCCGCATCCCCCCCTGACGCCGCATTCCCCCCTGACACCGCATTCTGGCGCCGCATTCCCTGACGCCACATTGCCCCTCTGACGCCGCATTACCTCCTGACGCCACATTGTGGCGCCACATTCCCTGACGCCGCATTTGCCCGTGACGCCACATTACTCCCTGACGCCGCATTCTGGCGCCGCATTCCCTGACGCCACATGGCCCCTTTGACGCCGCATTACCCCCTGACGCCACATTGTGACGCCGCATTCCCTGACGTGACAGGACCCCGTCTGATGCTCCAAACTGCACGAAACGGTTCTTCGTAGCAGGGGCCGTTTTGACACTGTTGAAGCAGCAGGCAACCCCAACACATGTCCAAGATATGGCAGAACACACAGCGCAACAATTGGACATTGTGTTGTATTAAAAGGTAAGAAGCCCCCGTACCGCGCACGGTATGATTGAACATAGCCTTCCTACTTAGCTCAACGTACCACTGAAACGGGACTGGGCACCCTTAACAGTAAACTTGTGCGTTGAAGCTCTTGTTCGCGCAAATCTGCACTAAACTCTGCCGCTCCCATCACCCTGACATAGGCTTCAGATGATACAAAACGCCAGGCATCCTTGAGTCTGGGTTGAAATGAGGCCCAACATGGGCCCACAATTCACTCAACATAGCACTGCATCTTCAGCCATCGGCACATATCTGCTCAATCCGATCCAACATTGCCATCAGAATTCGTCTGCGGAAAGCGTCTTCGGGGTCTAATTCGTCTTCGGG